TATTTATACCCAGTTGTGTCATTTGTGGTTGATTTTTGAATACTCCATTAAAGAAGAACTCCGGGTAGAAATGTTATTACCCCATGCAGTGGGTTAATGTCCACAGTGCAGCTACCCCTGCACTACAAGGGTTAACTGCTCGTCTTTGCCTAGGGTAAAAAAAAAGCTATACTTACCTGATCACCTGATCCTTGGATCAGGAGTGTCTCTCCTCCTCTGATGCAGTGGTCTAGGAATCCTCGAGTTATCACAACAAATGGTGTATATAGGACATGAGGATGTGGAGGGACATATCATCGCTGCAGAGCCAGCTGTACCTGCCCCCTCCCCCATCCGTTCCTCCACTCAGCGCTGGATGGGGACGGGGGGAAAACCCTGTGAGGAGCAGTGACTGACAGTCACCACTCACTGCAGGGAGATGATCAAGAAGTGAGCAAGCGACGTTATGCATTTGCTTCCTTCCCGATCTATTGAGCCAACGTGTGACAGTTTTTTGTCACACGTCAGCTCGAACTATGAGGATGAGTGATTTTCACTCACCTCACAGTTCTCCTTTAACTCTTGCAGTGGCCCACTGCAAGGGTTAATAAAGTTACTGTCCAGAGTTCTTCTTTAATATAACTGGAAACAAAGGTAAAAGAGTAACTAAGGTGCCCATTTGTCCTTCCCAATTGACTTCCCCAATGATTCCGAGTTCTGAATGCATGTAATCTGTAGGTGTGCATAATGGGACAGTCTTTTCTTTTGTTTAGAACATCGATGGGTTAATAAATGAGTTTTCATCAGTGCTGGAGTTTGTTCCTCAGAACAGACCTCTAATGGTCATCCTAGATGGCTTAGATGCATTATCAGAAAATGACCCAAAACTTTCCTGGATACCCATGGAACTGCCTCCACATGTCTACTTCATTGTGTCTTTTCCCAGTGGCAGCGAGACAGATTGTACCACCTTTAAACACATACAGGTAATACATGTTTATCATATGTTTGCTTTTCTAGGACTAGTGATGGGCTAATTACAAAAATAAAATTAGTTTGCCAACAATTCTTCCAATTTTCCTCCATGATCTATATTCTGGCAATGTTATCTGTCATAAACTTCAAACTCTACTGCTTTAGAATGTTAAAGGATTGTTTTTTTCACCATTAAAGACATATTGCTTTTTAAAATAAATTCTTTATTTAAACTATTAAAGGACATATTAGCAGTAGAGTTTCATAATTAATGATTACATTGCACACAGAGCAAACACCTTGTGAGATCAGCAATACTGTAATGTAAATGCATGTCATTGCAGTAAACAGCAAAAATAGGATTAGTCAAAAATAGTACATACGATTACAACCCTGTGAACAAGTGTTTGGCAATGGCTGGCACGTGCTCAAAAGATAAACTCTTTCTTCATCCTTGAGTTTTGAAAAAAGTAAAATGGTAAAAGGACAAGAGGATAAGAGAAAGAAAACATCTACCTGATGTTTGCCATGTGTCATAGTAGATGGGAAATTTGTATAAAGCCACTTCAAGCATTGAGGTCTTTAGAGGTCTCCATGATGGCAAAGTGTATCCTCCCTGCCCAAATAGCATAGAAGGAATATTGTTTTTTTTAACTGACAATGTGAATGGAAGATTGTGTGCCTGGATGACAGAGAAACCAAAGCTTGCTGAATGACCAACTCTAACAGAGAAATATTTTCTATCATTTTAACCTGAAAACTAAAGATTTACATGTAGAACAGAATGCATGGTAGGATGGGTTTGAAATTTCCAGACAACTGTATACTAATAGGACTTTTATACGTTGTTTATACTTTAATTTACTAACTTATACCCTAAAATGTGCTGTGAGATTTTCTTTTTTTGTCACTGAAGCCTAGATATTTATCTGTGGATGAAACAGATTCATACAAACTAGAGTTGTATAAAATAGTGCAGGTATGTGTGTTGTATAAGTATCTAATTGGAGCTGCTATAAGCCTTTCACATAAACTTACAGGGTATTCACAAAGCTACAGAAGGCAGCCGAGTGAATAACCCAGTTGAAGTGAACAGAGCCAAACGGCGTTCGGCTATTCACTCCGGCTCAGTACGGCTGATTTCAGCCATACATCGGCTGAAATCAGCCGTATATTGTCTGCCTCATGCTCTGCATGTTCGACTGAGCTGAACTGCAGAGGGACTTCGACTCAGCCGATCCAACATCTGGATCGGCTGAGCCCAAGCCCTGGCAGCTCACTCGCTGCTGTTCTCCCCTATTCTCATAGGGGCCGAACGGCAGTGAGTGAATTGCCGAATGCCGCCGAGCAGCATTCGGCTCGGCTATTCTGCTCGGTACCTCCGTGGTACCGAACAGAATAGAAAATAAGTGAAAAGAAAGAAAAGAAAAAAAGTAGAAAAATTATTTAAAAAATGTAAACAAATAATAAAATCTAAAAAAATTAAAGATATTTTAAAGAAAAGAAAAAAAAAGAAAAACAATTGGGCGGAGCTAGCAGTGACAGCACCTGCTAGAGTCTTCTAGCACAGTGGTTCTCAACCTGTGTAACCTCAGGACCCAACATTTGTCCTTGGTCATTAAGTGGCGACCCATGTCGCACTGCAATGGAACACTCAACATTGCGGTACTGCGCGTTCCGGTGTGGGCGATCGAACTGCGGGTGGGAGGTGCGTTTAGGATGCTATTCAAAGATCCACCCAGTTTCCATACCTTACGAGAGCTGGGGTCCAGTGTGGGCTGCTGTGCTGAGACAGAGCTCCATCCATATGTGCAATGCTTGTACAGCTCCCTTGAGTGCCCTGTAGACGTGCCAGGAGCCAGAATTTGATATCACTCCGGTCCAGGCACCTCTGCAGGGCATGCAAGGGAGTGGTACGTGTGGATGGAGCTCCCTCACGGTCATGGCCCCAGCCCATCCCTCCTCAAGCTGACACTCGGCAGCAGATTTTGAATGGCTGCTTGGCGAGAGAACTGACAGGAGCAGCTGAGGAGTCTCTCACCTAGCATAGTGGAAGGCACACGGCGACCCACTGAACATGGGGTCGCGACCCACTTTTGGGTCACGACCCACCAGTTGAGAACCAAGGTTCTATCAGGTCCCGGCCAATGAATAACAACTGGGCGGAACTGCCGGCTCCACTCAGTTGTTATTGTTTAATGACAGATCAGTGTCCCCAGGTCATTTGGGGACACTGATCTGTCATTACAACTGGGCAGAGCCAGACGTGAGATTACGGCTAGCTCCACTCAGCTGTCCTTTGCATGGAGATCGGTCGGCCTTCAACAGGCCGTTCTCCCTGCTTCGGCTGTCACTTCGTTTTGACTGAACCGAAGGGCACCGGCGGCCAAAGAGAGCCGAAGGATCAGCCAAAGCTACGGCTGGATCTGTCGACTCAATAGTGAATAACCCCCTGAGTCTCCTTAGGTAGCTAAAAAGGTTTAATGTTAGAAAACTTGCTTTTGTAGACAGGAGCCAATTAACTTTGGTTTTGTAGATATTCCTATGACAGTGGGAGGTTCACTTGACATTTTCCCAGCTAAATGCATGGAATTCCATAACACATAGTGCAAACTAAAAACAATTTGTGGGGAGGTTGTGATTCCTTTAAATCCTGACTTTACACTAAAGTCAAGTGCTATGGTACAGAGAAAAGAAAAAATGTGTTAATTTCTAAAGGAATATTGACTAACATGACCTGAAAGTTCATTTGTCTTTTAAAGCTGAACTCCAGTGTTCTCTTCAGTCTTCTACAGTTGTACCGACTCCTCTCCTGTACTTAAATTGCTTACTTTAATTTCACTGCACAGTTTTCATTAGAAACTGCAGCAAGTTAAACAGAGCTGCCTCATTTTCTGGCTAAAGTAAGACCATCATCATCTAGCGCTTTCCTCTCCAGTCCCCCATTGGTTTTCAGTCCTTTCATTATTGGAGGCCCAGCGCCACATGTGAGTTTTTTTTCCAAGCTCAGCACCAAGGCATTTTAACGTTTACATAACTCTTTCCAAGAGTCAGTCCAGGGCTAAGGGTACTGAGGCTGGCTGCTGTGATGTTTTCATCAAGCTATGTCTAACGCCCTGAGGCCCATCCCACCAAACCCAGTGATGATGTCATTGCTTCTAAAATAAGGTATGTAATAAAATCAGAAAGGTTTTATTGAGAGAAAAAAATAGTAAAAGCTACAATGTAACAGCAGTTTTTATTTTATTTTGCAGAAATTTACAGTAGAGCAAAATATCATCCAGGTGCCACCAATGTGCTCAGCAGAAATAAATGAAATGATTGACTTTTACTTGAGTAAGGATCACCGTAAACTTACCAGTAACCAAAGAGAAGTATTGCTTCAGGCTTGTGAAGCTTGTCCTCTTCCACTGTTTGTGACCTGCTCATATATGGAATCTCAACTATGGACATCGTACAGTCCAGACTCAGATATCTATCTGTATCCTAATATAGCAAAGATGTACTCTTGCATTCTAGGCAGACTGGAGAGGATCCATGGAGAGCAAATGGTGAAGAAAACGGCATCTTACATTTCCTTGTCTAGGAATGGTATCACACGAGAAGAACTACTGGACCTGTTATCTCTAGACCAGAGTGTCATGGATGAGATTAGACAATACCAGGGTGTTACAGTGCCAGTATTCCCAGAAGCACTTTGGGAAAAGCTGCACAGTCACTTTGGGGTTCATTTGGTTGAGCAAAGGACAGATAATAGTTACGTTATAAACTGGGCTCACAACCAATTTAGGTCAGTTTGTTTAAATCGATATTTGAAATCAAAGGATTACCAAATCGCCATCCACTCTGCATTTGCGGATTATTACTTGGAGAGTCGTACTCGCAATAAACTCAATAAAAGTGAGGTGCCAATGATGCCACTGTCATGGCTAGTAAATGAAGAGAACAGCGCACTTCCTGTGTTTAACCTTCGTAAACTCCGTGGGATATCTTATCATCTGGTCCAGTCTAACCTGATTTCACGGCTGATAACAGAGTGCATTTTTAATTATGAGTACCTTCTCCATAAAGCTTGGGCAACATCCATTGTAGAGATTCAAGAAGACATAAAGGCTGCTATTAATCCAGAACGGTAAGATGGTAAAGATTTATGGTATCCAAACATTTGGTGCTGAAGAGTTTGATTGCCTTGGCTGGTCAAAGTAAAATATGTAGTTTAAACATTTATATTGGTATTAGCTTCAGGAAAGTTTCCCCTGGCAATTACAGCTAAAGCCTAAGACCCCATTCACGCCAGATGCTTTGGCATCCGTGTTTCAATGGATGCTAACGCAAGGACATCTGAAAATAAATGGTGTGAATGGGAGTGATTCACAACAGTATGTTGCAGGCTCTACATTCTTTTAGCGCAACGCAACAGACTGGTGTGAACTGCTAATGCTTTTCAATGCAAGGCAGAACCAATACCTTATATAGCCTAGTGTAAAAATCAAACAAAAAACAAAACAAAAACGCAATGCAAGTCAATGTACCTCCGGTGACTCGTGTTTTTGGCTTCGATTCCAGTGTGAATGCACTTTTTAGCTTTGGAAAAGAGTAAAAACTTCTGTCAGCTTTTCTTCCTGTGACTCCTTTTGGGGACCTATAGAAGAAATAGAGGTTTGGTCATCAATGGGACAGGAAAGCAGTGAAAACAATAAAAACATTGTCAAATGTTCTAACCCTTCCTCACTCTACTAAAATTGTTGTATTATCGGTAACTGAACTATATGGTTTATACCTGGACATAATGGACAACAAAACTGGATCACATATTCTTCTTTAGTAAGGTAGAAAACTATATTAATACAGTTCCATTCATACAGTATGATCTAAAATATGTATGTGTGCCTGGGGCTTAAAAAGGATAATTTATTATTCTATGTTATGGTTACGCTACCTCAGAGTAGAATAAAAGGGGGATAGCAATGCACCTAAGTAATATGCTTAATTACATTAGCTATGCCAAAAATGTACATTTGTTTTATCTTAGCAACACAATGGGGTTGATTTACTAAAGGAGTTGGGAATTTTTAATATGCAAAGTGAACTTTCACTTAATATGCAAATACTTATTTCAAGCATCCAACTATGCACGTAAATATCTTGCTTTTTTCATTTCTCTTGCACATATTTGGGTATTTAAAGTAAACATATCTTCACCTAATTTGCACAGCTTTTTGGCCCATAAAGGTTCTCGTAGCAGATTAGAAAGCTCTTGTTTTCAGTTGGCCAACGTTAAATTGTTAGATACTGCTATCTTCTTGTTGATCTTGATAATTTCCTAATCATCATACCCGGATGATATTTTCTGCCCCACAGACCAATGCTTGATTTGAATCTGCTGTCTGAAACTCTCCAGCTGTCTACCAAAGTTCTGCTGAGAGATACCTGTCAACTGGCTTCTCAGCTGAAAGGACGCCTCCACCAGATAGAGGTTTTAGATAAGCCCGTGGCTCCTGGTAAGATATAATTTTTTTATGATTGTGGTAAATTAGAAAACATTATCCACGCAAAAGAAAATAAACCCTTCATAAACTGATTACATGTATTTGTGTGAGTTGGCAGATGTGTCATATTTATTATAGGAATGTAGACAAATCATATGATTATATAATACGCAAATCATATGTCAAAAGGAAAATAGACACAAATGATTTTCCATTCGTGAATATGAGTATAGCTGGTACTATAAGAGTGCATATTTTAATGAGAAGTATAATTTCCATTGTGTAAGGCCCCTTAGCAGTATTACTATCTTGCTGGTTATTATTTAACCTGTTTTTTCATTATTTGTTGCTAAAGTTTCTTGGCAAAAGAAAGAAAACATACAATCAAGGCTGGTTAGGGGCAGGGAGGCACCAACCTAGGGAACTCTGCTGGGGCAAGTTCCTGCCTTTGCATTGCATTTGCATCTGCACTGTGAAGGGCCAGGCTGTCAAATGACAGCTCAGTCCTGAAGATCACACTAGGGGAGAAGAGTAAACAGCGTAGCTGAAATGTCGATGTAGCGGCCGGCCGCGTGCTATGTATTAGGGGTGCTGACACCACTCCCTATAAACAGAGTACAGCAAACCAGATGTAAAAGTCACACCAGTGCTCCATTGATTGAATAGGGAGAAACATTCTTTCCTATTGTTTGATTTGCTATTTCTATGAAGAACATATTAAGAGATGCATTGTAATAAAAAAATATTGTGCTTTTTTTGACTTTGCTGAATTGAAACATTGGGTTGAAAATGTTTAATGAAACTCTTGAATTATATAGGATATTGTAAATGACAACTAATACATGTAATACATAGGTATTGGTCAGTATGAGGGCTATGTTTTAGAACCACTCATTTCTACTACAGGTAGTTGGCATATTCTTTGGTAGCATGTACACTAGCAGTCGTTAAGGAACTACAAGTTCAGGTTCTCATTAGTAGGGCTTACTGCTGCTTTCTGAGATTTGTAATGGTACTGGTTACGTACCTCAGTACTGCTATATTATATGATACCTGAAGTCACATTGTATGGTAATACCCTTTTATTTTTATATCTAAGGTGATCCCAAAAAATACCCTTTACTGCCATCACTGCTATCCCAGTGCCAACAGTCCTCAGTAGCCACATTTGTTCCTTCCTTTACCTGTCTTCTGCCACCTGGAGGAATTCTCTACGATACAGTAGCTGGTATGTTTTCTTTCAATGTGCCTGCATGCATTTTCTATGGATTCTAATGTATTTCCTATGTTGTATAGTCACGCATTTCAAATTACAATACATGGTGTTACTCCCATCAGGCACAAATGTAACAATGCATTTGTCAAAAGCATCTCAAACACATTTACTTAATGCCTTTATATTATATTATACACAATCTCCAAATACTGACTGCCCTCAAATGGTTCCAGGCACAGAAAAAAAAGGTTGTCTAACAAATATTTTAATCCTCTATAACAGAAAAGGAGGGAATTTTTACCATGTCTCATAGACATTAAAACTGCAGATCTGGTCATCACCTAATGTCTACATGCATTACCCTAACCACAGATATGTGATGTCAATAAGGGCCAGATTTACCATTAGGCGGAGTAGGCACATGCGTACAGGCGTCCTCCATAGAGGGGCGCCTTGTAGGTACCTACTCTGCCTAATTCCCAGTGTTGTTTCAAGATACAACACCGGCAATAGCAAGGAGGGTGCATTCTGAAAAAAAGGCACCCTCCTGCTCCAAGACTAGCGGCGCCTAAAGTAACCGCCGGCTTCCACAAACGCAGAAGGACCCGGCATTGCATAAGGCTGCCTTGTAAATTTGTAAATTTCCTGTCTGATGCGGACAGGTGTTTAGGGCAGCCTTATGCGATGCCCGGATCCTTCTCTGCATATGTGAAAACCGGCAGGTCTTGCAGCAGGTAAAGGCGCCGAAATGGAAATCCGTCCCTGAAGACCTAACCACTGAAAGATCTGTCACTAAACATATATGACTCCTTTGACCAGTCTGGCTTGTTTATGCTCTGAGCAAACAACCCTGACACCAGCCTTATGTCAAATAAAAATAATGATTGTCCTGTAAAATGATTGCATAGTATTGTTTTTTCCTCCTGAGACTGATTGGTCAGGGGGTGTCTGCACAGGTCACAGTGTATCCATAGATATATTCCCTCATTGGCGTGGTAGTGGCTAAACTTAGACAACAATTATTTCTTGGATAGGAATATCCTAAACTGGCATCTCTTATACTGTCAGTTTTGTTTAGGCTTTTTTTTTTTAAGCAGCACAATTAAAATGATAATTAGTTAATTTGCTGAGTATTCCCTAACAATTTAGAACTTTATGGTGTTACTGAAACTCTATGACGTTATGTAACAAATCTCTAAATATGGAATGTTAGCAGTAGTATTGCGCCTATGACTAGTGATGGGCCGAACACCCCCGTGTTCGGTCGAATTCAAACTTTCGAACATGGGGAAAGTTCGTATTCGAACTCGAACTCAATGCAAGTCTATGGGGGTAGAACATTGAAAATCAGTTGACCCCATTTTGAAGCCTTATATGCAACTTATTGGCAATAAAAAGTGTATGGGGGTGTGTGCTTTGAGCTCCTGCACCTGCTACATCCACATCAA